CCCCATGTTCGGTCCCAGCGGGCTCAGCCACGGGGATCCGCTGTTCCTCTTACCGTCCGCAGAGACTTCATCGAGCAGCACTACGTGACCCTGAAGAAGGCAAACCCCGATTTCCCCATCCTGATCCGCGAGTGCTCCGGTGTCCAGCCCACGCTCTGGGCGCGGTACGGTAAGTGGGGGGGTGCCCGCCTGAGGGGAGCTGGCTGCGAGCGGCAGGGGCGCGGGTTGGGGGTTCGGCCGTTGCATTAAGGGACGCTGGTGGTGGGAGAGCAGCTGTCCGGGAGGCAAGGTGGGTTTTCACTTCAGAGAAGTGTGTTACTGCTGTGACCTGGGGTGGGGGGGGTGCAGAGAAGGGACCCGGGGCTCAGAAGGTGCTTTGCCAGCTTGTGGCCATGATCTCCCACCTCCGTAGGATTCCTGCACAGAAAAACGTCTCTGTTTTTTTCTTTCACTGCATTCTCAGTGAAACGCCAAGGAGGGAGCAGAAAAGTTCCTATGTAAAGGCTTTGCTTTCTTCCTAAAGCCATCTGGGCTCAACAAAAATAATTTAGAAACTTTATTTCAAAGAGATGCAATGACTCTTTAAGCACAAGTTTCCCAGTGTGAGCACACGGGCCAATAGAGCCTGCTGGTATAGTGCCTGTCTCTTGTCTGTGTGTGGCTTGCAGGGAAATATCCCCCCCCACAGGGGCTGCTGTAGGAACAGCAAGTTTTTCAGCACTATCTTACTGCAGTGTTGGTGAGCACCTTGATGCGAGCAGGCCGAAAGCCACCAGGTTGCTTTAAAATGTGGTGGTGGTGGCCTCTGCCCAGCTGCTGCGCAGCAGAAGTTAACAGAAAGAAGCAAGGAAAGGTGGTGGGCTGCATTGGTTTCTCTGTAGGGGAAAGGCTGAGAATAAGGAGCAGGTGGAAATGATAACTCAGGCACACACTGGGGAGAGGTGGGTGTGAAAATGTGGTGATGGCAGTCCAGGCTGTGGGGCCAGTGGCGCTTGGGAAACCTAAAGCAGGGTTTTGGGCTGCCCTTTGCACCAGAAGAGGGCCAAGGAACCCATGCCCTCTCTCACCCTCTGTCTTTCCTGCAGAGTTTGGCAAGGAGAAGAGCGTGCCACTGAACAACCTTACTGTGGATGAAGTGGCCAAGGCATTGGAGAACGTTGTGAAAAGCAAAGCGTGAAGATGGACAGTAAATATGCACGTGCTGAAGACTTGACTGATGATCTTTAATGCAAAACATGTATCTTTAACTTATCAATCACATAAATGCAATATGCTTACCCTGAGCTTCATGAGTCGGGTTTAAAGCCAAAAGGAGATGCTGGAGGGATTCAGCAGGTTTATATGCTGCCTCCCCAGCATCGAGAGCCCATCTGCCCAGGCTGCAGCTCAGCTCTGCCCCTGTGCCAAGCTCTGGGGAGGGCTTGGGGCTGCCATGTGGTGACAAGGACAGAAACAGACGTATCTTGTGAGGACCAGCATCCCTGCGCAGCCAGCACTGGTGCTTGCAGCTGGCAGTTAGACTCATAACCAGCCCTTGGGGAAGCAGGGCACAGGCTGAACAAACGGTTTACCCCTCCTCAGAGGGAAGGGAGGCAGCGCAGTCTAGAAGGCAGACAAGGTGGGGTGGCAGGGACTGAAGGTAGAGGCTCCGAGGGGCTGCACGACCGTGTCCAGCAGTGCTCGTGCTCTCTCCTGGAGTTGTGGGGTGCTCTGGTGCTGCTCAAGGGCCCGGTGCCCGCCTTGCCTGATGAAGTCAGCAGCAGCCTGTGTGAGAGGAGAGGGGTGAGAGCTGGCTGGCTGTTACAGGTGATGCTCTCCACCCAGAGACACCACTGCACAGGCCAGGGAATGGGCTTGAGGGCATTCCCCAGAGCCTTCCCAGACACTCAGGCCCAAGCCAGGTAAATCCAGCCATGCTGATTGCTCGCTGGGAGTGCGCAGAGCTTGAAGTAAGTGCAACTGAATCAAACTAATCCCCCCATAATAACTGCAAAGGGAACAAACAACCTGCCAAGATCCAATAATTTTCAATGAAAAGGAACTCCCCAGAGACACCAGAAGGGCTTCTGCCCTCAGCATCACATGTCTGGGTGCTGAGGAGTGTCCTGGTTTCAGCTGAGAGGATTGATTTTTCTTCATAGTAGCTAGTGTGGAGATATGTTTTGGATTTGTGCTGGAAACAGCATTGATAATATAGAGATGTTTTTGTTCTAGGGACCTATGGTTGAGCAGTGCTTACACAGAGCCAAGGCCTTTTCTGCTTCTCGCACCGCCCTGCCAGCGGGATGGCTCGGGGTGCACAAGAAGTTGGGAGGAGACACAGACAGGACGGGTGACCCAAACTGACCAAAGGGATATTCCATACCGTATGACGACATGCTCAGTTTATAAGGAGCTTGGGGAAAGAGAAAGGGGGGAGTGGCAGCGTTCAGAGTGATGGCGTTTGTCTTCCCAAGTAACCGTTACGTGTGACAGAGCCCTGCTTTCCTGGAGATGGCTGAACACCTGCCTGCCCATGGGAAGTGGTGAATGAATTCCTTGCTTTGCTTTGCTGGTGTGTGCAGCTTTTGCTTTACCTATTCAACTGTCTTTATCTCAACCCACAAGTTTTCTCACTTTAACTTTTCCAATTCCCTCCCCCATCCAGATGCCCCGATGGGGGAGAGCGAGCGAGTGGCTGTGTGGTGCTCAGCTGCCGGCTGGGGTAAAACCACGACAAGGAGTGAAGGGCTAGCATGTCAATGACTGAAGGCAGTATTACTTAAATAATAACAATAATCCTCAGCTTTTGCGATCTTGTGCTTGATTCTGGGGCAGGCCCCCCCAGTCTTACCTCCGGGCAGTGCAGAAAGAGGAGATGCAGCAGCTCGAGGCACTGCCCCACCACCTCAGGGTCAGGCAGCGTGAGGGTGGGCAGCAGCAGGGGCAGGGCAGCCTGCTGGTGCAGCTGCTGGCAGTAGGCTGGCCCCTTCTCTGCGATATTGCACAGAACTGTCAGGACCTGGATGGAGAAGCCGTGACAGCAAGTGAGCGATGTACACTTCATTAGTGGGCAGATTCCTGATGGGCTTAGGGCTCCAAAGAACTCCCTGTGTCCTCCCTGGAGGTCCTGCCAGGTGCTTTCCAAAGCCATGTGCCCACCAACCAGCTGGATGTTGAATGCTCTTTAAAAGCCTCTTCCATCCCCACCCCACGGTGCTGTTCATCCCTCTGCCAAGCAGATGCAGCTGTACCACCCAGCCCTTGGCAGTGCATCACCCCAAGACCCCCTAAAGCTTTAGGGTCTTCAAAAAGAAGGTGGCAGCAACCTCCCTGGGGCCTGCTCCAGGTGCTGGCAGGCCTGGCCCAAGTTAACATCTGCCTTGGGACCCCTCTTCTGCTGGGACAAGACTCTGTCAAGAGTAAATACAGATGTAGTGACTTCAGGGGAGGCAGGTGGTGACTCTACCACAACATGAGACCTTCTGCCAAGCTGTTGCTACCACCCCAAGCCAACCTTTAGCTTGAGCACCATACATGCGGTATTCACGTTCCTAAAAGTGCAGCACTTCCCCTGAGACCTGGGGCGGGAGGAGGGGTCTTACCAACACACTGGCCATCTGAGAACACGGCAGGAGCTGCAGCAGGGCCGGGAGCAAGTCCAGGGAGAGGACAGCAGAGCAGAAAAAGGGCTCATCCGCTAGTGTGGGCAGCGAAGGAACGTGTCAATAAAATTGAGGTTTCTGAGGGAGGTCTCTGTAGACAAGATGCTATGAGTCTGCCAGCAATCAAGGCAGGTCTGGGCAGCAGCTCCAGCTCTGCTGACAGCCCTGCGGGACGCTCACCTGTGAGGTTGTTCAGCAGCCACAGACACTCCTGTACGATGAACGGGTGCTGCTGGAAGAAGCACTGCAGGATGAGGAAGAGGGTGATGAGCAGGCGCTCGTCCTGGATCTGGACTTCGCAGCTCGTCTCCTCTGCGAGCAGGTTGCTGAGACACCGCAGCACTGGGCAGACAAGCTGTGACGGTGGGAAACACAAAGCCCTTCAGCTGGATTGCGTCCCCACGGCAATGCCAAAACCGGCGAGCACCCTGCCTGCGTCTTACCAGCTCCAGGCCCTCAGGAGCCTCTTGGGGGATTTCAGAAGCCAGGTCGAGCAAGAGTGAGGTGAGGGCAGGCAAGGCCCCCAGCGACAGCAACGCCGCATTGGCTGTATGGCTGCAAAAGGAAGGGACAGCATGGTTGCTCTCAGCGCTCAGAGAGGGAAAACTGCTGCAGCCCTTGCCAAACAATGGGGGCTGCAAATTTGGAGCGCTCTCCTGAACCACCACAGGGCTTGTTTCATGTTTGAATAGCAGTTTGTTTCTGAGCTTATGAGAAAGTTTAAAAGCCCACAGAAAACAGATCCACTGGAATTATCTGTGCGGGTCTGTAAACAACAGCCCCAATCCTTCTTTGAGTAGCCACGCGTTCCTTTCTGCTGAAGGAGGTGGCACTGGAGCAGCCATGCCAAGGCAGGCAGAGATTGTTGGCAGCAGCCAGCCTGGCCAGGGTCAACTCCTGAAGCTTGAGGATTCAGGGAGCTTGCTTTGGGGAGTGCTGGGGACAACTCCAGACATGGGGAGGTGATGGGGGGGGGTTTCAGAGGACCAGGAACAGCCTCCTCAGGTTTATCACCTGTTACCACCCTGTAAAGGAACTCGTGATCCTGCAAAGAGCATGTGCGTGCTCAGACACGAGAGTGGGAACGCCCAGGATGGCAGGGAAATTGGTTTCCCAAGGGAAAGGGGCAAGGGGAGGCAATCCAGATCCCCTCGCAGGACCCTGAGCCTTCGTCCCTCTCTGGCTCCCCCCTAGGGAACTCAAAATTAGGAGAAAAAGCGTGTTTACCTACAAATGATGTAGTGGAGACACCATGCAAACTCCACGGCTGCTCCTACCCCAGCCTTGAGGCCAGAGCAAACCAGTCGAAGCATGTGCTGGGGGAGCACGGAGTCCAGAACCAAGCTGGGGTCAGAACGGCAGAGTTAACAGAGGCACAGGACAGAGCACCAGCAGGACAGGCAAATGACAGGGAGATGCTAGCCCTGGCCACCGAGCAGGCAGCTGCTCTGCCCCTTACTGGGGGCCACATGCTCCAAAAACACACCTGGAGGAGCCTCTTACCTAAGGGCTGCAGCACCTTAGGCACCACTAAGGCCCAGCACAAGCTCTCCCTGTCGGTGGCAGGGCCTGGGGACACTCGGGGCACCTTGGCTGGGGTCACATTTTTGGCATTGCGGGCTGTCAAGCTGATCTTTTGCTTTGCAGGAGGAACACAGCCAGAATTTCCCTGCGAGCCTACCCTGCTCAACAATGTCCTTTACCGAAATACCAGAGCTGTCTGCTCAGATGAGGCTGAGGGAAAAGAGTTGAGACCCGCGCCCTGATCTGCAACAAAACCTCCATAGTTCTGGTAGGATTCTGTTCTGAACTATTAATATCACTGGGATGGGAAAGGCGTCATTGTCCCTGGCACGCAAATACCACACCGGGCCCCAGGGCCCATCCTGATTCAGGGTTAAGGGGCTCGAACTCACGGTATGATCTCTGCGGGGGCTTCCTTGGCCTGGAGGAGCTGCGAGAGGACGTAGCCCAGACCTTCCAGCACAGCCTCGTGCGGGGACTGCAATCAAACGGAACAAAGCTAATCCTGCATGACAGAGCCAGGGGGATCCCAGGGTGCCAGCTGCTGCGCTGGTGGGAGGGCGATACCTCCTTGCAACGCCAAACCAAGCAGCTGAGTGGTTCGGTCTCTCCATGCCTGGGGAAGAGGAGGCACAGCAGGGGACCAGGAGTGATAGAGCAAGCTGTGGCCACACCAAAGCTGAGCTGTCCCCCTTCCCCGGGCTCAGGTGGGCTGCAGCTGTAGGGATCCAGGAGCTCAAACACAGCAGCAGAGCTGCTTTGGGCGTTCAGATCTGCACGTGACAGCCCTGCTCACTGCGTTGGCCTCGTTTGCTTGCTGGACCCAAGCTGTACAGAGGGCAGAAGCCTGCAGGTCCCCGTGTTACAGACTGTTTATCGGTAAACCACAGTTACGGATGTGAAAGATTCAGCTGGAGAAGAGCATAAAGAGGTCATCTGAGCCCTGAAAACGGAGTGCAGGAGAGTCTATGAGAGACCCTCTGCAAGGGAACAGCCCTCTGCAGAGGGG